CTCATCCCCGACCAGCACCCTGCAGACTAATTCCCTATCCCTGCCCTGCGCGTCGCGCACCTCGGTTTGGTACTCGACCGGCTTGCCGATCCTACCCGCTTCGTGGCCGAGGTGGTTCTTAGGGTGCAGGACGTCGACGCCGTCGGCGAGCATGCGTCGCAGATACGGCAGTATGCCCGCCTTCTCGACGACGCTGGCGCATACGTCTAAGGATTGCGAGTCTACCCACACGGCGCCGAGGACGCTCTCGAAGAAATCAGAGAAGAACTTGGGTATGTGCAGGTGGAAGAGCTGCGCCCAGGGGTACTCCTCCCCGTGCTTGATGGCCTCGAGAACAGCCTCCCGCTCCTGCGCGTGTCTTTCTTCCGCGGCCTGCTGGACGATGCCCATTTCCTGAGAGGTGTGGCGCATGAACTTCCAGAACGGGAGTGTGGTGCTCGTCTCAATAGTTGATTTATCCTCTGAGATCTGCGTTGCCTCCTGCTCAATGCTCCACTCCATTCCAAAGAAGCCGAGTAGATCCCCGTTTATACAGGCCGTGCGGAGGAGGTGCATTTCATGCTGGGACATGTCGCGTGGGAACTTCCACAGGGCAGAGACGACCACGCTGTCTAAGATGGCGTCGCCAAGGAATTCCAGGCGTTCCATACAGTTCCCCGTCGAGTTGACATATCCGAAGGAAGAATGCGTGGCGGCTTCGACGAGTAAATTCTTGTTGCGGAAGGAATATCCGATCAACTCCTCTAGAGGCGCGAGAGGGGGTGGGAGATACGTGCTCATGGTAGTCTGGTTAAATATCTCATTGCAGGCGGAATCGAGGCTATGCCATTGTTTGTTAGGTTGCACGTCGGGGATGAATATCCGGAGACAAGTGAGCGCTTTGTTTATCCCATCTATCCCGTCTATCCCACCATCTTCGTACGCAGCTCCGATCAAGGCTTCTACGACATCAGCAAGCGTCTTGGTCGAAACCACGCGTTTGTCGTCCGCATTGTCATTTGAACCAAGCATGTCTTCCACGTAAATGGGCTTCCACTTCGCGCCCGTGAACTCTTTCTTGAGAATAAACTTATCCAGACCAGTCTCGACCGCTGCGCGGCACAGCCTGGCATTGGATACTATGCTCATCTTGAAATCGTCGAGATACCCTTCTGGGAAATTCGGATCTGCGTCAGGTCAGCATCAACATGTTTCATAGCTCAGACACAGGTTACCGCGACGTACTATTGGCAGTTATGGTGGCCGTAGTAAGCAGCTTCAGAGTCGAGTCGCCTAGGAACTCGAACCTTTCATAGTTTGTCTCTTCTCTAGCGGATGGTGCGCTAATTGCAGTAATGACCAGTGACATGTCCTTGAATTCGACGTCTTTCAATATGGTATTGCATAATTCAGTAGCAACCAGGTGAATCCCTATCATGTGCATAATAGAAGGGATGAGCATTCCGAAGTGAACGTTGGATATATGGATACCATCCACTCGACAGAGGCGTGCAGGTCTAACTATCTCAGTTGATTTAGTAGAATCAGACGTGGGCGGTTGAGCCAAATGGTGAAGAAAGTCTTTTCGCTTTATCCACTTCTCCAGCAACAGCCAAGGGGTATCAACTGGTTCACACTTTAAAGATTCCGGTACTGGAAAGTCCGGACCGAGAGATGGCAGCAATTCTTTGAATGAATAGGGAGCTTCGTCGAAACGGATTAGTGCCGTGCCATCAAGACAGGCTTCTTCAACGCTCTTTTGGCCCACGAGCTCACCGAATGGGATATCCTGGGTCGGGGACCGAATATGTAGTATTGATCGCGCGGCATCCCTAGCCTCCCATTTACGATGTCTAAATGCTAGGTCTAGCAATGCCAGGCTTTGATCAGCCTGGAGGTCCTCAGCGGATATAACCTTTGTTTGGCCCAGTTCGATCCTCCAATGGTTATACCTATCCCAGATGATATTAATATATGGCAAAGCCGGAAACGGTACAGGTAGCGTTGCATCAAATTCACATAATAAATCGCCATGATGATCTACCAACCGTAGCCTGCGCTGGTATAACTCTTTCTGATCACCCCAAGCACGCGCGATCCGTGTCCAAGGGTTCCTTTGTCCATTAACTTCTATCTGTGGAGCTCTCGACTCGACATCATGCGTGATCTCGGGCTTAAATGGCATCAGATTATCATTAAGGAAGCCAGCTTTGTAGATAGCCGTATAAGCCAGGAAGGCGGCGTCCTTGCTGGCACTTTTCTCGGTGAACCAGAGACCGGTACTCTTTACTCGCCGAAGCTCCGGGGGTAACGACATCGGTAGGACCACCGTTGCCGAGACTTGCGGGACCTCTCCAAGCGGATTAGGTGTTCGCTTAAATATGTAGTACGGCCTTGTATCGGCATATTGATGCTTCGAAAGTTTTCTACAAAAGTGTTCCAAGTGTGACTTTGCCTGGTCGAAGTCAAGGTGGGCTCCGGTCTCTGGTACATAGAAAGGCTCAACCTCGGGTTGCTCCATCTCTTCAAGTTGTACACGCCTCATATCCTCCTCATAACGTCTCTTCATTTCCTCCTCGAGTGCCATCCACTGCTCGACTTGGGTTGTGACCTCGCTCATTAGTAGAATGAGCTTTGACTCTTTCATCCGAGCTCTGCCACGTCTCTGGATAAACGTCTTGAGGTTGGCCGGCGGGTCAAAGCAAACAACCATATTACAGGCTGGGACGTCGATACCTTCTTCCAGGACACTCGTAGCTATGAGGAGATTGAGCTTTCCATCTTGGAAATCCTTAAGGTTTTGAGCGTATTCCGTCTTGTTGGGGGCACCGAGGTCTCGTTTTTGACTGATGTGGTTGCTCGTACCGATCATAGTACCGACCCGGTAGCGATCCTTTATTAACGGATGGATTGATAGTATATGTGATAAGATAGCTACTGTGGCGATTTCACGAACGAATACGATACCAATAGTTCCGTCAACCGAATGAGATAGTTCCCGTACAAGGGCCGCAACTTTGTTAGATATACCTGAATCAGTCGTACCATATTCAAGTGGGGACGGTGTTGATGTTTTGACACCTTGCAATGCATTTGCAAGGTATTGCTTCTCCTGAGTGTCCCATCCCCGGAACCACGAATCGTTCTCCCTGATCGACTTAAGGAACTGAGCGACGGAGGTAGAAATGAAGTGATCTACAGCCCACGTTCCAAGTTCTCGGTGGATTGTAACGCTCTTTCGCCAGAAAGACTGTACCTGGCTAAAGACGTAAGTATCTTGATTCTTTAGAGCTCTCTCGAGCGCGACTTGACTGCGTTCCCTCGTATCTCTCCGCAGTCGAACAATATAAGGGTCTTTATTTATATCCAGGCTGTAGTATACACGAGCCAGACTCTTCATAGTCTCAGTTAGTGGAAAATCATCCTCATCCTCATCCGGCTGGGTATAGAAAGCGTGAGTCATGGTCGGCCGCTTTACGACAGACAAAAGCTCGTCTCGATGGATGCTCGGGCTCTTACATACGGCATCCAGCGTTTGTTCGATTTTCTCGAGGGTATCGAGCTTCGAACTCACGATCGGACTTGCCGTAAGACCAAGTATTGATGGAATTGGTAGACCGGCGTTTTTACTATCATGATACCGGCCCATGATCTTGGCGCCAGAGTGTTTACCACGACAATTATGGGCTGATTATATTAGACTAACACTTCATTCTCGGCAGAAGGTAGAGTAGTGCTTAACTGACCTTCGTCGAAAACTATCAGGGAGAGTCGGTCCATACGCACAAATGCATGGTTAACGGCATCCAGAAGGACCTGATAAGTAGAAACGACTATTCGAACATTCTTCAGATAGTCATCCCATATACGAACATCGGACCAGGTCTCTACGCCGTCTGCCCCAACGAGAGTTTTGATTTGCACGGCTGGAATCTGCGACCTGAGCACTCGAGCTTGCTGCTCACACAGAGCAACAGTGGGGGTCAAGAACCAAACAATCTATCCAAGTTAGCTATGTATACGACGTAGTTATGAGGCGACTATACTGGCTTTATGAGGAGCAGACTTTTCCAGTTCTGCTTGGATTCTAAGGACGGCCCTGAAGTATTGTAAGCACGTATACCAAAAGACGTAAGGCAGGAGTCAGCTTCAGGCCATGCCACGACACGACACGATTCCCAAATAAAGTAAAGAAGCTTGCAGTGCTAGCACTTCCTATACGTACACCTGAGTCTTTCCAGTCCCCGTGTCCATCTGTGGAGATAAGTAAGTCTAGGAAGCGCAGCAGGTACGACAGTATCTACCTACTGCAACGATAATGTTACGTTTGAGACTCTCCTCAAACATCTCAAGCTGGTATTCGCGGGCATGGATAACGCCCGAATCCTTAACTTGGACCTCATCCTTAACGTCTATAGTCGCCAGATGAGGCTCCAGCTTCTCGGTGGCTGCGAGTTCAGGTTCTTCGTGGCTCTCAGGGATCACGGAATCATCGTCGCTGTCACTGAGATATTCTGCGATTAAATCCATAGACAATGCCGATGGTGTTACTCCAGGCGTAGCCATTAACGCAGTAGAGCTGCTTAATTCAATTCAAATTGATTTCGTTGAGAGCTTATCGTATGTCGCTCCTCGATGTTGATTGTCTCGATAGACTTGAGCGACTTGAAAGCTTCACACGTATATGATGCAAGTTTAACATTATTTGAAAAATAGCAAGCGACGTGTGTTTGCTTGTATATGACACGTCGGATTCATGCGTTGGGCAGAGACGCCAGATATTGATACTGGTACGACAGGTTCTAAGCCGGCAAGGCTACCTGCTTCAAGCAAGCTGCTTGAAAAGAAGGACGCACATGTGCTTGGAGTTCCAGTATGTAACAATAGATTAGGTACATTAGGTAGGTATTCATATATCGGATGGCTCTAATTGGCGAAGCCATAACAGTGCGATAAAAGGGGATATTTATACACACGGTCTCCTTATCCAATCAATGAATGCATTAGTACCTAGTTATCCAGATACTTCCATACATGTTACAACTTACATAGGAGACAGCCATGGAACTCTTCGCTACTGGCTTCAATGCCTGGCGTCAACTACAGTTCGACAATAAACAGAATACATCCAGCGAGCCTCATGATCTTAAATCATTTCAATCTATTCTAAAAGACGATTTTATCAGCCGTCCATGCTCCCTCTTGTCGTGCACTTTCGGTCAGCGTTTCTTATATAACAGGTAGACATTATTATCATAAACTAATGCCAATAAGTGAAAACTACTTCCGGTATACGGAATGCAGGATTCGTCCAAGATCTTCCTGAAACTCTCAAGGGGAAGCTTCTCTCGTCCATAGCTGCTATAGCTTGGAATGGCACCATAGCCGGCAAGTTATTGTATTATGGATATATCTCTTGCATATCACTTACAATTATGCGAAGAATATGACGGCCACGATACTATTTATCAATATTCATCTATTGGTACGCGTGAACGGCAGGAATTCTCTGGCATGGGAAAGATTATTCAACTGGTAGCATACGAAACGGGGTTCGTAGCTTTATCAGACGATGGCCATGTCTGGACTTGGGGCGACGAGCGGTACAGCGCTTGTCTTGGAAGACCAGTAACATATTTAAGGTAAGCTATTAGATGTCCCTCGAGGTAACGTAGCTGATGTCACGGATTAGTCCAGCAGAAAGACCTGGTCCCGTAGAGGACCTCGAGGACCTGCCAACCGGCAAGATAAAAAAGATCAGCGCAGCTGGGTATCTGATCCTTGCCCTAACAGAAGGATGTGATCTTTATGCTTGGGGTGGCCGCCCAGGGCAGAAAGCGCTCCTCAAAGATATATCAAGTAGCCCGATACCCGTGGTGGTGGAGGAAAGTGATATAGTAGATTGTGGGGTTGGGGAATCACACATAATTGTGCTTAGTTCAGAGGGTCATGTATATGTCATTGGCGACAATGGGAATGGTCAGTTAGGCTTACCAGATAGCGAAGCAAGTTCGTGGACGAAGGTACCTTTGCATTTAGAAGTAGGACAAGTGGTTTGTGGTGTAGAAGCGGGGCGAAGCACTTCATTCATATTGGCCAAGTATCAAATCCCTTGATGATTCTGCCTCAATGGGCTCTCTATGCTGTTCTATGATACACGCAAACTCCTGCCAATTCCAGAAATATTGGTGCTCACAGATTTGTTAGGTAGTCCTCGATCTCTTGTGGGGTGAGCTTCCTGAATCGTGGACCAGTTGCGCCATGAACTCCCTCAACTCCGAGTAGGTGGTCAGCAGGGGGACCAACGATGCCTTTTGATAGTTAGTAATACCCCCTAATTTAGGTACCTTGTTACGACTCACCTATCTCAATCGTCTCTCCGTTCATCTCGCCTTCGATAGTCTCCTTCAGAGTTAGAAGCGCAATGTGCACAGCATCCTCTAGCTCCAGGCCTTCGGTATATCTCTTCTCTAAGAACGTCTTGGCCGTTGTTGCGCTCTTGCCGATGGCAGTGGCTTTCCAAGGGAAGTAACTTCCAGATGGATCGACCTGGTAAAGCATAGGACCGCCCTTTAGAATTCCGCCGGTCTTGCCCGAGGGCTTCTTCTCGCCCTCAATTTCGCCTTCGACAGCAGACTCCTCATCAGGTAGAATACCCTCGTCCCATCCAGCAATCAGCAAACTGACACCGTATGGCCGAACACCACCAGACTGCGTAGCTTCTTGCATCACTCGTGCAACGTCCTGAACTAATATTCTAGTGGGCGGGTACTCGTTGTAAATTCTCTTGTAGCCGGTGTGGGAGACTTTGCGTGCCTTGTCTACCAGTACTCTATAGTCCGGACCCATTCCCGAATAGACCATTCCGATGTTAGGAGTGATCAAGCTGACCTTAGACAAGGAGGAGGGGTCGGCAAGAGGCGAAGAGGACTTCTTCTCGGTCGCTAGAACGATGCCATTTGTTGCTTCCAATAGTCAGCGGATATACGTCTCGGCGCTTTAAACGACCTCGATCCTTACCTTTGATGCCCAGGGCCGTGACACCTTGGTTAACTGCATTTAGGGCATATTCTAGTAGACCGCACCGTTAGCTAACGTCATGAACATTATTATAGGGCAGGCCTCTTCGGGGTTCTAATGTTCATAGGCATGCGACCTATAGTAAATATAGCATACCGATCTGGACTAGTTTTCCGCTGTTGGGAGGGGAGTTAGCCAAGAGTCGCAGTATGTAGATATAGATATCACAAGGGAGTTTACCTCGGGGAGAAAGTCGTCAAGGAAAATGAATAACGGTCGGCCATGGTTGAAGGACGATATGGAAAATTGAATATGAGAGGGAACTGCGAAAAGGTTCAGGGTTGTAAAGTTTGGCTTGAGTGGAGGGGGATTAGATGGTGAGGCTACAGAACCTCGAGCTGTACGGAATAGTGTGGAGAGCTATGGTTGATTGCTAGGCATCGCGAGTTTGCGCGTCAGAGCTCAGGTACAACAGTTAGGTACAATGGTGGGCTAGCACTTGCTTTGATACCTAGGTAGTGCTCCAGGGTACATCAGCCCGCACCGTACCTAATCGGGCAGCGCAGCAAATGGCGGGAGCTTCCGTTTGAAGGAGTTCACGTCGGAATATCAACTCTCCGAAAACAAGCTCCCGCCGCACCTACACCCTCTATCCGGAGTACCTAATCCGTAAACAATTACATAATTGCATTGAATTTGAATTCAAGTTATGCACCAAATGAAGTTGAAATTTCTAGAACGGAATACATCCACGTCAATGTTAAAGTTCGCGTCGCCTGACTTTCTTTCAATCATTCGTTGTTTGAGAAACTTGACACGCTAGCTTGGCTTAGCTGTACAGCATGCTAGCTTTAAGATTTACATATACTCAAAAGAGAGCCAGAGTATTAAATACCTAACTTGGTAGAGAAATAATTGTTACGATTGACAAGCAGCCAAGTCAACATCTGGGCGCTGCATGCAACAAACAGCACAGCCTTCGGATCTGGACAGATCTAGACGCTACTATCCTTCCTCCTTCATCACCCATGCTATATGTATCTTCAACAATATCATCTCGATATTCTTAATCCGGCCTAGTGCGCTCTTTGTATCCCTACGTCAGACAATGGTCCTCGACCGTACCCTTCCAGATTCTATTCGAATTTGAAGAACATATATGTAACGGTGAGAATCTGAGTAGGACAGTCTGTTTATCTTATATTTCCTTTGAGCCTTGTCCTAGTCGCACGTGTTGTGAGGTACCTCGAGCCATCGCGCCAGTCCCCTATTTCTTTTTATTATTTTGGTTTCTTTAAGCCCAGTACGACGTACCGAACAAGCCGAGACTCCAAACCGTTTATACCGATACTGCCTTCGCAACCTATCATGGACGCCCAACCGTCGTTCGGAACTGCCACTGGCAGCGATTATTTCCAGCGACCCCAGTCACAACCTGGATCGCAACCTGCGCCGAGTCAGAATGAATCAAAGAAACATCTTCGAATGTGTTGGATCTGCCATGACGAAGTAGAACCGACGTATGAAGAGACGGGTTTCTTAGACGGCCTTCGTAATCGACGGCCAAAAAGGCATTATGTTTCCGAGGATGGAGGCCGCCTCATCAATCCGTGCCTCTGTAAAGGCAGCGTTAAATACGTCCACGAAGATTGCTTGAAACTCTGGATGAACGAAAACCCCAACGCTTGGAAGTGTGGTCGATGTCATTATCAGTATAGGATGGAGCGGTTTACGTGGGCCCAACGGCTCCGCAGCCCACTCGTAGCTCTCGGGCTCACCATCCTTATCCTCCTCGTTACGATATTTCTACTTGGGTTTGTAGCCGACCCTCTTCTCAACTTGTGGCTTGATCCTGTTGGTACCATAACAGAGTCGGTCACGACAGGTCACATTAGTTTAGATGACGATATTGATCTACTATCCGAGGAATCGGGTTGGTTCGGTCACTTCATAAAAGGACTTTTCTCGCTGGGCTTGCTTGGATTCGTCAAGGCGTTCCTTGTTATGAGTCCGTGGCAATGGTGGAACTTGCGGACTAGTGGCATCATAGGTGGAGGTGGAGGTCGTCGTGCTGGAACTGGGCGTGAGCGCATGGAAAGTATCAACTTGGCTCTCGTCGTCATTGGTGTCTTCACATTCTTATATGTAAGTTACAAGCTTGATATCACCTTAAAGCTTTTACTGACTTTCTTAGACGGTGTGGAAAGCTACACGAAAGTGGACCGAGAGGACTCTCGATAGGGCGAGCCAGAGGATCCTAAATGTCCAGCGCGATAATGATGATAATAGCGCTGACGATAGCGATGACGAAGATTAGTCTAGATAGGAAGAGCTATAAACAATATCTTGACTCTTATTCGTGTGCGATGTATATAAATTGTGAAGTAACTTTGCTATCTTACCCCTAGCCAAGGGGGTGGATCAGACATACCTAGAGACATATCCTCCTAACCAGCATAAGACATGGCCTCCTATGTAGTAATCATACATATGACTTATCATATTGTACTATTTGGCATTACAAGCATCCCCAATGACAATAGGGCTTCAGCCCCGCTGATCTTCAATCTTCTTGAAGTCCTGTACAGTATTGACAACGCCCCGAGTCCAGCTCAAGTGAGGAGAATGACCAGCTGAGCACCTATATACTGAGAATTCACCAGTTTTTCGGCTCTGGGCAGCTACCATTGCTTCTTGGTATTCTTTAGGCAGCGTTAGGTTCCCTTCTAGTACCAAATAGGCACAATGAAGGGCGGCATATGCATTATTCGTCAGTTTTGTAGTTGAAACAGGTGCGGCTGTAAGAGCGGCTGCCCATCTCTCCGCAGCAGATGCTTCAATGTCATTAAATAGGTATTTGTTAGCTTCGACTATAGTACTAAGCCCGTCTACCCGGTGTTTCTATACGAAGTCTTAGTTAAAAGCTGTACGCTAAGCTTAAATAAAATACTATCACTTGGCGCGATATTTACATAGAACTGCATAAACGGCGGCGTCAGGAGAGAGCCATCTTTGGGCTAGAAGAAGCTATGGATTGATTGCCCGAGAGGAATAATGAACGCGCCTATATATAGAATTCCAATTATCCCGCCAGCCAATCCTTTGTCTTTCCGTGATCTCGCTTGTAGCTCTGGTCGTGCTGCTTCGGTAGCAACCTAGCCGCCGGCTGAATGACCGACCAGGAGAACTTTTTTACCACGGCTAACTACATGACGAAGGGTATCAAGAATGACTTCGGTTTCCTCTTCGCCTTGCGGATATCCCCCTTTTGGAGGCTCCCGGTCGAAGTTAGGATTGTTTATGCCTCCAACATTTAGCTTGGTTAGGTCCGAGGTATGGTGCTGAGGGCAAAATGCCTCTATTCCTTCTGCTTTTAAGGCCTCTACTAAAGGCATATAGGGCTCTAGAGTATAGTAGTTACCATGGCAGATAACGACAGCAAAGTCCGAGGTTGAGGTCATGGTGAGATACTGAATCTCAGGGGTATACGTATAATGGAATGAGGGAAGTTTAAGAATAGTGTAGACGACTGAAGCTTCGTTGACGTTTTTTAAGTACTAAACGAGTGGAGAGTATCCTGACAATGTAAAGGGAGTTTAACAATACAAGAGAAATTTCATAAAAATGTAAGGGGGAATCCCAGATCACATAAACACCTACATAGCTGCTATAGAGTAGGTATATAAAGTGAGTGGGGCCGAAGATTTCCCCGTAACGGACATACATTCGGATCCGAAAGAAAAAGATGAAGAGAAAGCAATTATTAGTTGAACAAGAGCTGAAAGATATCAACCCTACTAGTAACTACTATCTTGGTGACCACCGCCTTGATGGTCTCTACCGATCCGTCAGTCGATTCCATCAATTCTCGAAGCCGTTCCTTAGCCGTCCGGGTCCCGGCCCCACCTGCTGAACTCTACATAGCGCTGTGGCCTAATCGGATATTCCTTAGTAGCAAGCTGGTAGGTAGCAGAGATCTGGTCTGCTTGAGAGAATGTCACACCTACTCTAGTCTCTAGACTCATAGGATAGGAAGTCCCAACGAACCTCATATTCCTAGTAGGACTAGCAGACGTAGATATCTACCGACAATAGGAATGTGTAAAGTGTAAGAGCAATTCGTTGAAGAAAGACTAGAAAGACTAAAATGTGATAACCAGGTCGAGCGGGCCGTGTCACATGATTTCCCAGAGTCACGTGATTGTACATATAAAATTTAAGATGCGATAACAAGAAAAAAAGATTTGCCGAATCAACGTGTTTTCATACACGCAATGCACACTCTTAAGTTGCCTCGAATATGCTCTCCCATATCTTGTCAACTAGTCTGTGTGCAAAGATTGATACCTTGCTTACGATCTGATGAGTGAAGCGTCTTGCTTTTACTCGCACGCAGATTTGTTCGAGGACGTCGCAAATTCAGCCTCGCGTCGTTGGCTCTTTTTGAGTGGTTTCGATTCGGTCTACCCTTTTCCGTCATGGTCTTTGTATAAAGGTGTGGCCTGGCTATTTTCGATATATTACGTCTTTCCGGTGTCGTATATACATATTTGCTTATAAGACTTGGTGTCGTAATTCGCTGTTAACTGCTTGAAATAATTACGAGATATTTCTAGACTGCGTTGATGAAGCTGTTGATGTATTAGCTCAGATTAGATTAGATTAGCTCATGTACGGATTACAATATCCTTCAGTCAATTAATATTAGGCATGGTTTAGGTAAGCCAGCCAGGTACCTAGTCAAACAGCCAACAGGGGTCCAGGCTGTTCCAATAGCGCTAAGTTGAATTAAGTTGAATTAAAAGTGCTGCCAAAATGAGTTTCCGTACATGCAATCTGGCGATGGGCTGCATGCATATGGTTTTTTGCGACATGTCAAATTACAACCGTTACCCGTGCCTGAAGTAATAGCTAATTTAGTTCGCAATTGTCCTGATGCCACGAGAACTCATCACCTTTATCGTTTAGTCTTTCATTCTCATTGCGCCAGAGTGGCCACGTCCGTCACGTCTAGACACTGGGCGAAAGTGCCCGCCTTTTGGCTCAATCGCTCGCTATTCAGGTAGTCGACCGCCTGTCTTACCTTTCTTCTTCGACAATCCTAAGAGAGGTCAATAATCCTCTCTATCGACCTTCATTATGCATTACGCTTATCCCTCTCGAAAAAGTTCGAATCCGCCACCTTATCTACCTCGTTCCACGCGAATACCGAGAATACGGAGGAGTCAACTCAAGCCGATCGCTTTCTTTGGCCTAATAATTATTGGTTTGATATGGGTGTTTTCCGGCAGCTCGAAACACGCTGGGCATCGCGCGATATCGGGGAAACCCCCTGTCGTGCTGGTAACCGTGTTCGATGACAAGAATGACAACTCGGTGTATATCAAGAACATTAGGGAAAATAGGATGCAATATGCGGAAAAGCACGGTAAGGTTTTACAACAGCCTGGTCATTTTTGGGCCATCGCCTAACCATTGATCAGGGTACGGCACATTACTTGCCAAAGCTAGCGACTATAACCTCAACGGATCACCTGCGTCCTGGGCGAAAGTTGTGGCAATGCGCCATGCCATAACCAAGTATCCCGATTGCAAATATATGTGGTTTCTCGATCAGAATGCGCTCATTATGAATCCGCATTTGAAAGTGGAAGATTACGTCATGGGCGCCAGCAAACTCGAAGCCTCCATGTTCAAGGATCTCCCAGTGGTCCCCCCGGATAGCATTATCAAGACATTTTCACACCTCAAGGGAGATGATGTCGAATTCGTTCTTACGCAGGATAAAGAAGGCCTATCTTCGACTAGTTTTATCATCAAAAACGGCGAATGGGCCAAATTCTTTCTCGATACTTGGTTTGACCCGTTATATCGGAGCTACAACTTCCAGAAAGCAGAGACGCATGCATTGGTAAGTCCTCATTCTACCCCCGCTCCCATTCAGCATAGGATTAGAGTGCTGACCAGTACTAGGAGCATATTGTTCAATGGCATCCAACGATCTTGTCGAAAATGGCCATCATTCCTCAGCGAATTATAAACGCCTATAACAATAACGGTCACGGCGAGCAGTACAAGGATGGGGATATCGCGGTTGTATTCGCCCACTGTTCTAATGTTGGAGATAATAGCTGTGCTAAGGAGGCCGAACGATTTTCGCAACAGTGGCGGACGTCATTTTCCAGGGCATGAGAGTACACGCGATAATGTATGACGAAAACAAATGTTCCGATGCAGGTACTAAACTCGACGCCGCGACGACCAAAAGGAGAGCGGCGGCATTCATGTGTTTGTTATAGGCGTTCAAGGAGCACAAGGATATTAGATTCGGATATTCTATGGCCCACTACTATACTAACGGGACACACTGGCATTTACATAGGTGTTTTGACGGCTTGGAGATTGGCTTCAGTCCGAGAAGCGCTGCTGGATGGATGATGTATTACATATTTTCTCGGGCCAGACCCGGCGAGGTTCTTGACGTTAGGCCTATCAAACCGAGCGTCTGATTATTATGTACGTCTTGAAAACGAATACGGTACAATCGAAGAATAGGATTTAATGAATATCCCCGATGGTTATGTTGACCCAGTAAGTTATTGAGGCCCCAGGATTTGATAAGTGAGAAATAGACCGAAGGACTACGCGCAGAGTAGATAAATCTTCGTTAATATTGGCACGTGCCTAGCATCTGTACATGAAAGTCAGAAGAATTGCTTATGTACCTACTATGTTCGCTATTCCCCTTGACGGCACGGAATTCTCTTGGCTCAATATCACATGCAGAGGTCTTTCTAGGGGGACCTTTCCGGTTGGCTCCCTATACTACTACTAAACAACAAGGGGCAATCTGTCAAAATTCATCCCGTCCTCTTTTCTAGGCGAGAGGTCGAATCGTTGCTAATGTTCGGGTGTCGGGCATCCGATGATAAAGGGACGGCTGTACGTTTCAGCCACGCCCGGGCATACCCTGCGTCTACAACGTAGTGCTGCTACGTGCTAACACTTCACGGAGTCCAGAATATGCCAAGCTAGAAGATATCACCTGTGTATTTATTCATCTGAAAAGCAAGGGCTAGTCCTTAGATAATCGATGGTAGTGGTAGTGGTAGTGGTAGTGGTATAAGGCCAGATGACCATGTGATCGGTCCCAAGTTAATAATTAACCTTAAATATATCGGCAGTGTCAGGGCCAGGGGCTACCGAGACGGCCGGCCAAGTGGGACGTGCATATCCGGGTACCCGCGTATTGCAGGCCGTACTTGCTCTTCTCTTCGCTTTGGGTAAGAAGGTGTAATACATACGACTTCTTGCTTATTATTTCATGGAAGCGAGGAATTAGTCACTTTCTCAATTGAATAATTCTTATCTCACACATGCCGCGTGGAATAGAGAGATCGAGTAAGAAACCACAAATAAATCCTTAAAGTCCGGATTATAAGGCACACCTAAAGCAATGCTGCGTGTGCTGCGTGCGATATTACTGGTGCGCAATATTGCCGGTTTGCCCAATCCGAATGTGAAATCAATGCGACTTACACTAACAAGACTTACCTAGTCGACATCCTGTCTACTCGTTTCTAATTGTAGATCATACAGTTAACCAAGCCCACGTAAAGACTCACTAGGTTGACCAAGGCGATCAGACAGACCCCGGCTCGCGATTTAGTGCTCCTGCAAGGGGCTTTATCACACGCATCTTCCCGACCCGGGCTCAACACCAATAGCTCGGTAACCGTTGTCCGCATGAAATCTCTCCTGTCAACCTAGTAAGATCGGATCCTAGTACCTAGGTAGGCAGGAAAACCTGAACGAGAAAGATGGGGACGACGGAGCTGTCGACGGAGCTGTCGACGGCTAGAAGCTGTCATATGCCCTGCTTTGACCCTGCTCTTCGTTTCAACGTCGTCTATCAGTCTTCTCTCCCTTCTTTCGCATCTTTTTCCCGTTTTGATGACATCGTCCTGGCGACAAGTACTAGTTCACGTCACTCGTTATGGGCTCATGAATGATGTTGAAAAGCGGGCTCTTGCGGTGCTGTCTACTAATCGCGCTGGGCACGATAGGGACATGGGCTAACGAGGATGTTGGGAAAGATGCCGAGTGGGTATTACACAAGGTGGCTGAGGTGCCAGAAGATGAATTTTCATTCTTGCGGAATAGGTTTAATCATGCAGTTACCGAGGAGGATAATGCGGTCAAGAGATTCGTAGTAGAAAGGATACCAGACCCCACGAGAAGGGGTCCCAAAGAGCAGGCAGCTCCAGCCCTGACGACTCCCCAACCAACACCGCCGCCGCAGAAGCGCCAGGACGATGGCCAAATCCAGGCCCTCTCCCAACAGCTCCAGTCACTTTCAGAGTCCGCGACCCGAGCCATATCATCCGTATCATCAAGCGCTTCTTCGGCCATGAGCCTCGTATCTCAATCCGCCCAGTTCGTCCGGCAGTCCGCCGATCAAGCAGTCCAGTCCGCCAACCAGAACGCCGACAATGCTAACCGGCAACTATCGCAGACCCAATCGTCGGCAGCCAGCGCCGTCTCTGCGGCAAGCGCGCGCGCGAGCGACGATATCTCGCGATCGCTATCAAGTATGAGCAGCCGGATCTCGTTCAACTTAGCCAGCGTTCAGAGCAGCGCTAGTAGCGTAATTAGCGCCGCTATGGTAGAGGCAAGCTCGAGCGCGGCGAACGCAGTAAATATAGCCGCAAGTCAAATTCAGGAGGCGAGGGCCGATGCAAGCGGTGTCAGGGTGTGTTTTTGAGTTATCCGTCTTCGCAGATGTACTACCACTTTCAGCTAACATACTACAATAGGGCGATGCAAGCTCTATCGTATCGCAAGTACAATCTAACTCGGTCTCAGGCACGAATGTTGCCGTAATAGTCACAGTGTCAGTGATCGGTACAGCTATACTTACAACCATCGCTTCGTGCTTCATCGTACGCTATCGACGAAAGAAGAGACGTGATCGCGAGGGTTTAGCTACAGCAATCAATAACAACGAGAGTCAGTATGAGAAACCAATCGCAGTTCGCGGTACCCCGGGAACTCCCCGTTTTACGCCGTTCGGTGGTGGGACCGGATACCCAATGGACAAGTTCAAGCTTCCGGACTTGAGCTTGAGCCCCTTTTTGAAAATGAAGACCAACGAAGGAAGTCCAAGCGATTTTGGTTTCGCGCGAAGTACCTACAGTAATAGTGACGGCAAGGCGTCCGTCAACGGTGACGTATACGGCGTCTCACCGGCAAGCTTCAGGTTGAAGAAAGATAATAGCATCAAGAGCGCAACAAGTGTACGACTTATCAGAGTGGGCAGCAATAATAATAAAGGGAAAGAAATAGAAAAAGGCAAAGAGGAAGATCAGAGAACTCTCCTTAGTCCGATACTCTCCCCAGCGCCATCGCTCCCTGTAGAGACGCCGATAGTGCTAGCAGCACCGGCTGCAGCGTCAACACCACCCCAGCCGCAGCTCTTTTCGCCAGCTTCGCTAACCTTGCTGGCATCACCTATAGAGCCACAGATTGCAGAACCGGCACGAGCGACTACTCGGTCTGTTCGAAACTCGGAGGCGGCAGAGGAGCCCGACATAAATCCAGTTAAACACACCGCGACAATGACCAGCCAGAACCGACTCAGATTTCGTGACAGCAGCGATGTGGAATCAGCCGAACCCTCGCCAGCGAACTGGAGACTATCAACGGCGCGTACCGTAGCCGCGATGAACCCGATGCGGAACACAAACACGGCTAGCCTACGAATGACAACCATGAGCACCGGTGGTAGTGACAACGGCCAGTCGCCGCCTCGGCGTCCCAAGAACGCGGGTGCTAGCTGTATGTGACGTGGAGTTCTTATTTTCCCCCTTTTAGCTTCATCCCCGTAGCAAGAAGTTGCATCAGGAACTTGCTGAGCTTTTCTTGCCTCCTAAAACCCTCCAGACTCTTTTCCTGTAGAAGAAGTAACTGACACAGTATCACAGTCGCCACGTTCCCCAAGGTGCGCAACGGCCCACCAAGGGGTTCCGCCTCCGAGGCTATCATGAACAAGAGCCGCACGAGTTTAAACGGCGTCACGGCACGGCTGCGCGAGGAGACGGAGCGTAGACTGCGCGAATCAGCTGAAATCGGCGGTGCTAGCGACGCGGTGAGGTCGAGCAGGGGCCCGAATTGGCCTTTCGGCGGTAACTAGGATATATCTATATGTACCTAGGGTAGGGCTAGTCGGCAGATGGGTGTAGTGAGCGAGTGTCTATGTAATTTGTAAGACGATACCACAACCCAGTTGAGTAAAGTGGAAGTGGAAATAGGGGATAAGAAGAGAAAGAAAGCAAGAGTAAAGTAATCGTGGCTGAAGCAGAGCCTTGCCAGGACGGGACGGGACGTACTGGAGATGTACCTATACCTATACCTATACCTAACTTACCTATGTACCATATTAATTTAGTTATAACCCATCTGTCTGTCTACATTCGCAACTCGTCCCCCAACCTTACCTCGTCTCTAACTCGCCTCGTCACTAATGTCTCGTGTATATCCTTTTCTACCCAGCCATACATACACCAGGCGAACAGCATATGTATATCCACGGGTAGACAAGTAAGCATAAATATCAGTATCCAATATGATGAACGAACAACACGATGATTTGGTTTGGTTTTGGGACAGTTAACCCAGTCCCCCACGCCAACATCTAGAACCAGGAAAGAAAGCGAAAGCCCGGCGAGACATACATACATACATAAATACATACATGCGTACGTGGTAGATACGACACGCCGTCCCACTAGCCAGTGCCCAGGAAGGCAGCAAGGCACGCGCCTCGATTCAAGCAACCCGGCCAGCTAGAAGGGATAAGCTTCGGTCGATGTTAGCGGGCTAGAGTAGCTATATTAATATATGGATTAGATGTGCAGGCAAATATACCTAGGTATGTTCCAGAACTAAGCCAGCCTATATTATCCCACCCTATATATAGGTAGGTGGTAGGTAGGTATCTATGTGGCGGGAGCTTCGGGATGCCGAGTTGATACTTACCATTTGTTTATTCACTTCTTACCTACTTACGTACCTACACGTATACCTTGCTGCTACGTCCACGTCCTGCGTCTCGCATCTACGTCAGTAGGATTAGTACCAAGAGCCTTCGTGCAGGCTCTACCGGGCCAACTACGACGCTCGCTGGCACCGCCCCCCCTATCCGGGCACCAAAGCACCAATTAACCTAACCCCGTCTCCGGAAGTCCCAATGTGATGGCATAAATACGGAAATGGGGGTCTATGTAGCGATATATTCTCGCGTGGGGTTTAACGGGGATTCTTATCTGACCCCTTATACCAGTCACCTGCTCGTAGCATGCACGCACGCACGTATTGTTACTGACATGCAGCAAATCCAGCTGCTAAATGTATTATTTCAACCACCCGCATTAGCTGAGAACGCGGCGGTAATTCGCCCCGAACAGGCAAGATTTCGAGAAGCCTGAAACCTCTCCTACTTCTTGGTGCTACTTGGATTTGTAGATGTGTACCCATTCAACGCCAATTTTATAGGCGCGTATGTATGTGATGCCGCTGCCGACCAATCTTGATTTCAACAACTTCTATACCATGTTGCCAACAACGCCTAGTTCTATGCAAGCTTAGTATGCCTTCTTTCATTAGTAAACAGAGGTAGGGAGAATAGGAACTGATGAGATATCAGCAACACCAAAGCTCATCATCTCAACCAGTTCTCCCCCTCCGGCTCAGTTAGAAACAAAGGGGTCAAGGAGATGAGTATTATAATGCCGCACGATAGAAAGAAATATCTCGGGAGATGCCGACAACTCCAGAACCCTGGTCTATGCAATTTTTCCAGATTAGAACGTGGTCAAATGGATCTTATGGACAATAGAAAGACGTGTGCCGGAACTGCACTGTGAGAGGGACATTGAAGAAGGGTTCTTCTCGGTTACACCCGGATTCTTATGTTCTGTGCATAGTAGATAATTCGAGAGCCTGTAGCAGCTCCGGTCGATCAGAAAGAGCCTCCTTCGCCTGGGTGTATGTAAACCACTGGCGTTCTCTTTTGTGCTTCTCGGGCCAATTGTTTTCCTCTGTCAGGACGGTAGCCTCGTAGAAGCGGTATAGAGCTTTGGGAGCATCCTTAGACAGCCTCTTAGGTGGCCGCGAGTCAATGACTTCGCCGAGATCATAGTCGATGCGGATTATTATACCGGCTTCTTCCCAGGCTTCGCGTTCAGCGGCCTCTGTACATTCTTCATCCGATTCCCATCCACCTTTTGGAAGAACCCAGCCCTTTCTCCGAGTCGATTGGATGAGCAAAACGTATACCCGGTCCTCCGACAGGGGGACCACTCCCGCTACCAATCGTTCACCCTTCGAGTTATAGCCTGGAAATTCAAGGGTCAGTTGGTCTATGGGGTAGGCGGATTACAAACTAGCGCGCCACGAGAACAAATCAAGATAAATCCACCGAGAATCTTGTAACAAAACTTACGTTGCTTTGTTCTACCAGTACGAGACTCCATTGTACGATGATTTGAGGAGCCGGACGCCATTTTGTAAGTCGTAAAATGGGAAGAACGGCGCGGATGTACTAGCTCGGCCTAGCGAGAGGATCAAGACGGGGAAAACCGGGGTTAGTTTAGTCGTGGGATAACCCTGGGCAGAGTGTGCCGGCCAGATGGAGCTGGAATTAAGGCGCTTTACCGAAAAATGTTGAGCTGCATGGTCATGGAAAGTCTCAGAATTGTGCGAAGTCGTCTATCTGGGGGGCGCGGTGATATGATGATCGCGTTCTCGTGATGCTTGGGGGGTTGTGTACGAATCAATTCTCTTGTCTCTCTTTTACTCCAGCTTCCGTCTACGGTTGATTCTCCAATGTTTAATGCTCGATGCTCAATGCTCAATGCACAAATACTGTATTGTAATGTCCTGGGAATCCGGCCCTAGCAACCAACAAGGAAAGGGAATAGTGAGCGGTATTGGCAAAATTGGACGTCCACATAGACAAGCTCGTTCGGACCCACGTGTGACTTCGGGCTTTTTCTTCAGAAGTTCGGGGGGTGCGTTACGGAAGCGCTGGAAAGAAAAGTGCGGCAGATCCCGGGGCTTTGTAGGAGTCAAGGTTGCGGGTAGGTGAGACGAATTCGTCGCATAGGCCGACGTCTTTCGGATTCTGCAGCGGATTTTTTTTTGTGGGGAGAAGGAGCACAGAATAGAATACCCGGCGGTCAAGTAGGAAGCGCACAGGTGCTTTGTTGGCGAGTAGGAGCACGATGCCCAGGATGTCTGGCACGGTGTTGAGGTTGAGGTTGAGCCACTAACGAGCGAAGGGGAAAGTTGCTGTTCTGGCTAGACCAGCACGAACGTTGCAAGTCTCGTGCCATAACTGAAATAAAAATGGAGGGGCACAGACAAGGAAAAGCTGGCTGAGTTGGGTTTTATAGTACTTTCTCTTTTTTTCTAAAGGGAGAAAAAAAAAGGAGCCCCCAGCTTAGACGAGGAGCCGCGGACCAGGGCGAAAGCACGAGCTAGGTAGGTACGACTTACCTTTAGTAAGGTTGTGAGATGCAGGGCCCAGAACTACCTAGAGGGTACCTAAATACTTACCTAGCTACTTACCCAAAACCTCCACGTTCCTTCCATTTGTAAAGTATGTATCCGTACCGTACTAGCATCCCCGTGCGTTGCTGCTCGGTACATACATGTATTCAATGCCAGGTGAGGTAAGGCAAGACAAGGCAAGGCAAAGCCATACAGCTCGCCACAAGAACAAGGGTAAGTAGGGTGGACGCACGAACAAGTAGCTGGAAGTACCGGATAGCTTTAAATAACTTGTATAACGCGTATAACGTGTAGGTACTGCAATTAAGATACATTACCTAGGTATCTTACCTGCTTACCGGCTTACCTTGGGTACCTTACTCAGTTCAATTACCTACATTATGTACCTACTAATGTTATATAGACCGGCGTGTTTGAAGTTGCAGGTGGTGGGTGAGCTACCCTAGGTACATAAACAGCACGTATGCTTCGGTATAAGAAACACATGCACGATGTTTTGAAAGCAGCAACGACCGCCGCTTACATCGTAGTGTACGTACCACTATACATAGCAGCGAAAAGGTGCTAAAGGGACCAGAGTATGATAACTTCTGGCTACGGGCAGAGGGCCGAAGCTAAGGATATGCCCGTTCTAACAGGGGCTTCCCATCGAAAGGGAAATAGATATAAATATTTTTATGAGTAGAGTGGAGGAGAAAAGTAGAGAAGAGAAAATTTTTCCTCAAAACGGAGTTTACATCAATCTCGCCGTGCCCCCGTTAGGTGCATACAGCAACATACAGAGGTGTCATACATGTACATATTTGAAAGAATTCCCGCTTGCTTCAGATATACGATATACCCCACGTACATCGTTCGGAAAGTTTAGTTTCATTAGAGAGAAGTATAACGCGCTAGTTCGAATTCTATAAGATTGTCTTTAGATAGTTCACCTATCATTCTCACGATATTAAACTAATGCATACCATCCCACGTACAAAGTTACAGACAGGTATACAATCACATCTTATTCCACTTCACCGCGTAATTCCTTTATGTAAATCCCCTGAACTTGACTATGCATCTATATGCATTTTCATACTCGTTGGATAGTCTTTACTGCAAGCCAATGCGTACATGTTTTAAACACGTATTACTCGCATGTGTTGGTTGCCATTGAAGTCTGGTGTTACATCTAGTTGAAGGTATAACTCCTCTTACTTCGTAGGTCTAATTGGCCGGCACTTGTTTTATAGCTACACAAGGTAAGTAGGCTGGTCGGTATGGCCTTGAATCGGATCTACCCCTCGCTTACATCCTACCGTCGATCACCGAGTTCCCCAGTTGAACTACAACTGAGACATATCGTGGAGGGCAATCCTTCTGACGCTCAGCGTATATATGTACGATATACGACACACCGCTATATCTACTACCGGCATAGACATATGCCAATACATTACCTTTATGCCTATCATACGTAAGGGGTGTTGGAAAATTCTAGCTTCCAGTGTTGCATCTCGATAGCACCCAATGCTATGGCACGAGAGTAAAAGTGTCAAAGACCAAGTCCATCAGCATGACAAAACCAACCCGGGTCAGTGACGTAGTATTTTGACCCTAAATACATGTAGAGATCCATCCTCTACCTACCTAAGCCAATAGAAGCTTTAGGTATATGATAATACATACGTACGAGGTACTATATACTCGCACATGCACATATATGTAGTTACACACAAAAGAAAACTTCCAGCTTTAATAGATTAACTAGTTACTTGAATTGGAATTTCGCCTTTGATTTGCTTAAACTTATATTATAACTAAAAAATCTACAATTGTTCTTTTACAAGTATCGATTGTAAAAAAATGAGATATTCGAAGCATTTACCTCGTTCGTTCCTAGAATTATCCCAAAGTAATGTTTCCTACCTTGCCTTGCTAAGCTCAATGGGCTGATCTTTTTAGATTTATGACAATACCTTAATTGTTATACAGTCGATATTCCAGGCTAGGTTGTATAATTCGTCATAGCACCTGCATAATGCCATGCAACTCTTTAATCCAGACATGGAACTTGCCTAAGTACGTGCATCAAGTAGTAACGATTGACATCCAAGGTCTATGGATCGCTGCCTTTGAGGAAACAATCGAACTGCCAATGTAACGGGAAGGCAGTCACTGCAGAGGTGTACCTACCTTGTTGATGCAGATAAATACCCAATCAAGGTAGTACCTGACAGACCTGAATAATACCTACCAAGCTCTCTCTGTTCCCCTTTTTTACCTTTCTCCTCTTTGTGTTAGCCGCTCAACCTAAACTCGGACAACTCGATATGCAGGTCACGCACGCCACGCCAACGTTTCTCGACGCATAAAATCATAAACCCATCTACAAAAAAGAGATTACATACCAGGCAATATATTATACCTAACCTAATATTCTACCTTGATCGCTATAGCGGTACTTATCCCCAACATCATCATCGTCTGACTCGACACCGACTCTTTCGTCCCGATCCACCTCGTACGTACGTCCGCTGTCCCCTTGCCAAATAATTCACAAATCCCTGCCCGCGCGCGTGAGCTGTCTTCTCTGATCAAGTGCACTGCACTGTCCTGCCTGTCTGACCATCTAAAAAGCCTAGCCATCCGCCGGGGCGCTACTTAGAAAGGATGCAGGCCCCCCCTGAAGATGCATTTTTGTATATATCGCCAATTGGTGAGTCAGATCTTTGCCTTAAGTCCATCTACCTCTATATACCCCGAGCCGCTCCCGTACGCCCTCGACCAACCGTTCGGACCCGTGCTCCATTGCGACACTGTCGTTGGCCAGCTTGCTTTGCATACGGTTTTTATGGGGAATACAACTCTCCGTCGTGTTCGTTGGCGCGCCACTACCAGCCCACTGGCGTCTCTAAAAGCGCCGCATTGCTCCAAGAGAGCAGCTGGGAGAGACGTGCATATTCAGACATGCTCTGTTACATGCTCTGTTCCTACATGTTCATCTGGAGTCACTCATGCCAAGCTGCCATTAAAATGTCGGGATATCAGCCACCGCCAACCAGCATCTTGCTCACCTCGTGCGAATCTCGCCAGTCGTGCAATCGCAACCTCTTAGCCAGCCGATGTATCATCGCGTGTTACTTCAACCCGTCTTCATTCTAGATTCCGTTTCAACATCTCGTGCATACTCCCGACTCCCGCTACGTTTCCGAGATGCTGCCTCTTTATTCCCCCTCCGGAATCAGATGTTGATCGCAGGCCTGGTCAAGTGATCGTCAACAACTCCTATATCCACTTTCCGGGTCGACTATCTCTTACTCAGCTCGTCCTGAAGACTGAACTCCGCAGCTCATGATGCCTACGTAGACGCTCTGTGACTAACTCTTTCTAGGATATAGAAGTTCATCTAGCTGCGGCTACTGCCGTCGTAAGGGTAATAATGATCGGTCGCAGAAAAGTATGTCTACCTCATCATACTAGCATCTGTTCACGATCCGATGTCCCCTCGGCCATACTTGCCTGCCCATTGATGTTCAGGCTATTCGTGTATACTGTCTAGTTGTCGTTGTATCCTGCGTTGAGTCTCCTCCTTCGTGTAGCGTCCTACAAGGGGTTCCGGTCTAACCCCATGGTGATTCTTGCAATTGTGATTTGAGCAGCATTTTACTTACACTACGCCCCAGGCCACTCCTATTTTGCACGTGCAACATCTATGAGCCCTGCCAACTATCAGACTCTGGTCGACCGGTGTTGGAGACGATCCGGGGCGCTACTCTACAGGCCAAATCAACGAGATGCTTGTTGTCCGCATTATTCTATTCGCCTTGATTCCGTTCGTTTTCGGGCGACGAGAGATCAACGGCAAGCTGTCAACCGCTTCAACAAGTACGTCGTAGGAGATGCCTACTCAAAGGAAGCAGCTCGCTTACATCCGAGGTCGCGCGAGCAGGCTCGGAAGCGAGATACCGAGTTTGACTTGGTGGAGAGGATCCATGAATGTGAGAGCCTATTGCTGGAACGGCCACCCGAGCCGGCTCACACCTTTTCCGTTACGCTAGAGCCTGATGATTTCACCGAGGAGAAATTTCTGGTTTATGAAAACTATCAACAGATCGTTCACCAAGAACCCCCATCATCTATCTCTCGCGATGGTTTTAAGAGATTTCTCTGCACTTCGCCGTTGAGGCGCGGGAAATATACAGCGCCAGACGGACGAGAACGTCAAGTCGGTTCATTTCATCAGTGCTACAGGCTCGACGGTAAGTTAGTAGCGATAGGCGTCCTAGACCTCCTTCCAGACTGTGTTAGCGGTGTCTATTTTTTATATCATGAGTCTATTCATAGGTTTAGTCCTGGGAAGCTTGGGGCTTTACGGGAGATTGCCCTCGCAATAGAAGAAGGTTATCGGTACGTACGAGCCATTTATTGTAGCTTGCAAATCCTTTTTCTACTCACTCTAAAAATGTCTAACCCCGTTCTTTATGCAACTATACATCTTAGACAATCCCCTTTGGTGGCAAGATAAACCGAGATAGCCGAACGTCGAGGTTCAGGGAGTGCTAATAGAAGTGTAGATGGTGGTATCCTGGCTTTTATATCCATACATGCCCGAAGATGAAATACAAGATCGACTTCTCCCCGCAACAAATCCTCAATCCAGACACGTTAGAATGGGTAGACCTTGAACAGAGTGTCCTCAAAAAGTTTGACAGTCACGGGTACTTGGACTTCGAAAGATCCGAGAATGATGCTGAAAAGCATACCCAAGCTACAGAGGTCACTCTACCGATGGAAATCGAAGAAGATGGAGGCGAAATACTACACGAGGACGACGATGAAGATGAAGATGATGAAGAATACCCCCTCTTCAGTAGTAATATGCCAGGTATCCCATCAGTGGATGAAATGAACTCGATAAACTTGGATCATATTGCAGTACGCCTTAGGCGAGGGTATTGCTATGCTGGTGATCTATTCGAGTGGCACAACGAAAGTATCGACAAAAAGGGATCGGCGAAAGCAATGGTTGCGGAATTAGTAGCAGCGGTCGGTCCGGACTACATACAAGATTTGTGCTTGGACTTTCGAAGATCCTAAAAGCTTGGGAGGCCTCGGTTTTCGTGCTTACTGTCGAGCCTGGGCGAGGAATACAAGGCTTTCAGTGAGAATGTTACTCGAAAGAGTAAGGCACAAGGTTAGGAGTACAAGATAAGTTCACACGAATACATTTCACAGCCTAGATTCGATCTACAGCTATACTAGCATAGAAAAGCGGCAGGCCTTATTAAAATTGATAATCGAGGCAGGTAAACGCTCTCCTACCTTGACTCCAACTTATAGTGAATATCTTACATTATCCCAGTCTAACAGTGTCGCAACAAGGCCAATTCTTACGAACTTGGACTAGCCACGGTATTTATAATCCCAACGCTTCCTTCGCGTTAGGAATTTTGGCGATAAAATCAGCCTTCATCTCAGACCAGACTTGGGCTTGCATTTTCCTGCCAGCCTCTCCTGTCAATAGTATGTCTGCTTTTCTACGCTACGGGTTAGCCATACTAGCACGAGAATCAATTCTTAAGCTTAGACTTACTGTCGATACTCGGCCTCGGAACCGTAGAATCGGAAAAACTTCCCCTGTACGTTGAACCACACCATGTCAGCTAGCCGAACCTACTTGCAGGTAAATAATAAAGATGAAGAGGAAGAGAAATATTGCTTACATGCTCGCTCTCTTCGGTCAACCCGGTCGCCACGTACGTCCTCGCGCCGTTCTCGGGCGTCTTGCCGAATATTCCGAGGTATATCGCGATGGAGATGCGGTAGCCTGCGCCCTGGTCTATGAATTGTCGCGGCAAGTCGGATTTCACGATGCCGGGGCACATGGTGTTTATGATGACTTCTGGGCTGCGGACGGGGTGTTGGTGTTAGTCGACGTATGTTGGCAGCGAAAAGGGGGAAACAGGAGGAAACTTACCGTCCATCCGGACCTAGTGCCATCTGGGCCAGTTCGTTTACGGCATATTGCCCCAGGAGCTTGGTGGCGCCATACATAGGGTTACTCCCGGGCCAGTTCTCGGGTTTGTTGAAGTGCTCCAGGATGCCGGTTTCTGAGGCCCATTTTGTCCAGTCGTTGATGTTAGGGGCTAAGTGCTGTGATGACCCGACCGCGGCTAGATGTGCAGGCGCCGAGCGGTTAGGACGCTCTGCTTTCATCCACTGCAGGAGGAGAAAGCCTAGGAGCGCTGTGCTTAAGGCGTTGGTTTGGATGTTCTGCTCCCTGTGGGTTTTGTGCTGATTAGTTAACTGCCCGGTACACAAGGAGGAGGGTTACTTGTATCTGATGAATAAATACATAGTCCTATGAAGCCGCAAAGGAGAAGAATCTTACCATCCCTCATCGCTAAGCGTAAATTCCATGCTAACAACACCGGCGTTCAGCACCGCGAAGTCGATACCCCCCTTTCCAGCCCTGACTTTCTTAATTTCCTGCGCGAACGCAACGACCGAGGCATAGCGGCTCATATCGAGATCCAAGACGCGGACGCGATCTCTACTGCGACCATTTGTCTCCTTTTCTATGGTTTCGAGAGCGGTCTTGGCGCGGGATGCGTTGCGGCTTGTTATTATGACTTCGGATGCGCCTAGGTTGACGAAGTGCACGGCGGCTGCGAGACCTAGGCCGCTGGTTCCGCCGGTTACTAGGATGGCTTGGTCTTTGAAGCTGTTGGCTGGTGGGAGGGGGATGGGGTGCCATTTCATGTAGGCTTGGTAGAGCATGCTACTCATTGTGTCTGGTATGGTGTAGTGCTTGTGTAGTGAGGATGGGTGAGATATAACCGGGATCACTTAAAGAAACTGGGAGACTCCTGTTGAAGGTTGAGATATCTAGAGTAGGACAAGACAGAAAACTATACATTCTATTCAACGAGCACTATAATATCTATTTATCTGGCAGTACCTCTACGAGCCTGGAACCAATCGTGGACCCTGTCACCGAATCCGGCTACGACTCTATTCGAAGCATCTATTCTCTCCGGAGACTTTCCATGCATCGTGCTTATTTAATGATTAGCTGAAGACGGGGCTATACATGGCAGACAAAAGAACCTTGGGTTCATTTACGATAAATCCTTTGGATGGGGCAGCTTCACGGCGCTATCTACGATCCCAATTCCTACGAGGCTTAGAGTCGGCGCCGGTGTTGCGCCGCAGAGATATGTCTCCGAAGATCCCTGGCTCGTCCGCTGTTGTCTGTATTATAAATCCGAAAGACCTCGGTTGACATTGGTATATTTATGCGTATTTAATCGTGAGAATTATGATAGAGAGACAGGGGGAGTGGTAGAAATGAGAGATAGGAGATAGTTGCCTTCGAGATGGACATTACCATATACTGTTATCGAAGATCAAGAATTGGCATGATGTCTACAATACACAATCTTCCATATATTAGATATAATTTTAACTCTAAATTCATTCTCTTTGAATACCTAGAAGCTTTCCAATTAAAATATACCTAATTAAATCAATTCTCCTTATTGATCAGAACTCATCATCCCGTACCTTCACCATATGGAGCTCGCATATAAAGCAGTACTGCTCAATTGCATATCCCATCTCCCGGATAATGCACTATCGATAAGCACCCCCTACCTCAAGCCTCGCCGATCCCAACACCCAAAGATCAAAAAATAAGCCCCACCACCAGCTCCAGCCAATAGGTAATCTCTACTCCCCACCAACCTTAGAGCTTCCAGCTCAAAAAAATCTCCCGCCTCAGCCTCGCGGACGGAAACATCTGTGTAATACGACGGGACGATTCTATACTGCTAGTTACGCTTTAGACAAGAGGATAGTCAAGTCTAGATACGTAGATACGTAGATACTCGACTCTCTTCATAATTATCCAGGGGCCATATCCCCCCTTCCCTCTCTTTTTCTTCTTCTTTTCTTCTTCCTACCACCCTCACAACCAACCAACCAACCATGGCATCATCCACAACGCAACACCTCCTCCTCTCGCCCGCCGAGCTAGCCTACCTGCACACCGCCCTCTCCCTCTCGCCCCCCATCCGCCCCGACGGCCGCACCGCAGCCCAATTCCGCCCACTAACAGCCGAAACCGGTGTCCTGCCCGCCGCCAACGGCAGCGCGCGCGTGTGTTTCGCAGACGGCACCGAGGCCGTCGTCGGCGTGAAAGCCGAGGTCGAGAAGCGCCGCGTCCTGCCGCTTAGCCGCGTGTACTACGAGAACAAGGAGCTGCGACGTAAGGGGGGAGAGGCACAGGATGAGCAGATACAAGAAGACAGTGGGCTAGATGGGGAGGATGCAGTGTCAGGCGAGAACGATTGGGTCGAGATCACGGTTGAGATCCCCGGGTACAGGGACGACGACAGCAGCACTGTGTTCTTAGCTACTATGCTGAGCGAGGCGCTGCTGGCCGACGGCGAGTTCACCAAGAAGTTATGGATCAACCGACGATTCCACTGGAAGCTATATATTGATGTAAGTCCTATACATCCCTCTACAATTACGCAAGACATTACGCGGCCCAAGTGAAGCGGATATGATACATTGATGCACGATGCTAATATATACCTTAAACAGATCATCCTCATCTCCCCGCCCCTATCCTACCCGCTACCCCTCCTCAGCCTAACGACGCATCTCGCGCTGCTCTCTACGCGCCTACCCAGGTTAAAATCCGAAGCGGACGAGGATCCCATGTTCGACGACGACTGGGACGCCTCGCAATTCATATATCCGCGACAGAGCAGCGATACAACGTCCGCCACGGTTGGTTCGCGACCGCCTGTCACCCTGCTAGTTATGGCCGTAGGCGACAATATCATTTTCGACCCGTCGAAGGAGGAGTTAGCCGTCGCAGACTCAGCGCTCGCGGTCTCGGTGGGCGAGAGGAATGTATCTAGTGACGAGGCGTCGGAAACGATGGACGTGGATGGCGAACTGCAAACGGGCAGACACCTGCGACTTTTGTCGGTGCGAACGATAGACCCGCCCTCGCGGCTAACAGCGCCGGGGGTACCCAATGCGGTGAACGCAGCAGCGTGGGGGCAGGGCGCGCCCGCGGCCAAGGATCCGGGAGCCCGGGCGGCGGAGACGGACGACGTAGAGGGTGTGTGGAAGGCGCCGAGGGGAGGAACTAAGGTAGCTGTCCTCGGGGCCATGGTGCAAAAGGTACTAGAAAAGGGGGGCATAGCAGACGAGGTATTGGACGGTCTAGACGCTGTCGACTTGGGATAGCTCTTTTTCGCGAAATTACGATACCATGAAATTAATACCTGCCTTGTCCTGGAGCAGAGAGAGAGAGATTCTGAATATTCTAGGGGGATGGAACCCATGCTGGCCATACGCCTAATAAGTAACGGCTACTATCTTTCTCCACGCTCCTTCGTACTTCCATTCGTCCCCTTGCTTAAAATATCCCGAGGAACTTCTTGCGCTTGCCATCCGGAGTGAACTCAGCCGCAGCTAGGTTAGGCTCGGGCGCAGCAGACTCGACGATCGGGACCGGTTCGGTAGTCTCCGGCTCAGCAGGCTTGCTGCTGCTAGCCCAGAATCCCCGAGCGGGCTCTATGCCATGCGCCTTGCGGTACTCGTTCCTCTTAGCGACGTCATCGACTTTGCGGCGGCGCTTCTCGGCCGTCAGGGCGGACTGGTGTTCCTCGTGCATGCGCATGACGTCGATGACGACGCCGATGTACTGGAAGGGGTGCCGGGGGAACTCGGAGATGGGCGGGATCAGGTCTGCGAAGGGGGATTTGGCGTTGAAGTTGGCGATGAAGGTGTAGATTGCTAGGGAGGTGAGGGTGCCCTGGGAGGTTTAGTTAGATGTAGAATCGAGAGACGCTGGTAGTTGGTGTAGACAGGTAGTGGGAGGAGACTTACTAAGGTAATAAATAAGTGAATCCCTCGACTGTGGATGAACCAGTGCGTCCATGTGTTCTCCGGAGGCGGTAGGCCTGGGTACGCTTTTGCGGACTGGGCTTGGAGCTCGGCGTCTGTCGTGGGACCTCCGTAGTGCTTTGGGGTCGATCTCGGTAGGCGTGCGCCATGGGATGGGGGGTTGAATCGCTCGGGCTTTTCGAGCACGATGGGCTTTGAAGGGTCGGGCTTAGGGGGCGCACCTGGCTTCACTGCGGATGCCTGGGTTTCCGAAGCAGGCTTAGACGGATATGCAGACTTGGGTGCAGTAGACGAAGTCGCAGTCTTTAGGATCGGTGTTTGCGGAGGGACTTCTTCTTTAGTTACAGGAGCAGCCTTGGTAGCCGCGGTCTTGGGCAGGGGCTTCGTCGGCGCGGAGTGCTTGGCGGCTTTGGCGGCGGGCGACTTGTGGCTGGCTTTGGTCGAGGATGCCCTCGTTGCGGTCTTGGAGGTATAGCGCACTAGCACCTGGCCCAGCTCGGCGTTGAGGGGAGCTCTCGCGAAGGCTGCGGTGCGCCATAGCGCGCCGTATTGGGGGAGCAGGTACCGCGGGATGTAGGTTGTTTTAGAAGCCATCGCGGGGTATAGCTTTGGGAAATTTTCAGGGGGGAGGGGGGTTGCTGCACTGCACTGCACTGCACTACACTGCTAAATGATCAGTTTGCGAGCTTGGTTTGTGTCAATTGGCCCATCGACTTATACATACGAGTTGAAGCGCAAAGTCTTAAAATTTCAATCGCAATCCTTAACGTGGTACAGTTCAATCCGGCGAAGTCTCTTTTTTTTTCTTTCCCGATCTATGCGGCCGGGGGTCGGTGGTGGCCGGTTGAAATTCCCGAAATAGTTTTCACATGGTATGGAAAGCTGAAGGTGGTATGACTAATCCGTTCTCGATACGTGCATTAGGTAATACAAACGCTCCAGCTACAACTACCATAGACTGACTCTACCATAGACTGACTTTACCATAGATTGATTACATCTAACCTACCACTCATATTATATTAAGATGCGCTTGAATATGTTTTAAATATGATTAGTTTTTCATTTATTTAATTACGGCTGTTATGTTTATAATACTTGCCAATTGTTAGCCGTGTTAGCCGTCCCTTTAAAAATCGCCAGCTCTTGTTAGATTCATCTGTTCCTCAACTCGGAATAAACTGATGCACTTACTAATATGCCTCTGTCTTATTAAAGTGACGAGAACGTAACTTGTCCATGACAGCCACCCTATAAAAAAATCAACCGCAATACATTGACGAATTGTTTCCATATTTTTCTTGTTATTCTCTCACCTTGAAGTAGCCTCCTCTCCGGGTAGCCTCGGGCAGCTCGGCCGGCCGGTTCTTACCTTCACCACTCGATCTCCATAAGAGTTGGGCCTGTTCACACCGTCGAAAGTGTTCTAAAAAGCCATCTTGCGCATATACCTTGTCACGGGCCTCGAATGCCCATTTCTCGCCCCTGGAGCCGATGATGTCTTTTCCGAGAGCGAGCTGACATCCGGCACACGATATTCCGTGCTCGATCTTACCGGTTCGTTTATCACGGTAAGGAAGTGCGCAGGACCCCATAAACCTGAATTTTTTATGTCGTCCCGGCGGCGCCTGCGCTGATGTATCCGGTTGCTGTCCGGAAACCAATATGGTCTGATGAGTAGAAACGAGCATAATATGGGACTTATGTACGGTCTCGTTCATTGAATATATCCCAGGCAAAGCCTTGAATGACCTCAATTGGGCTGATTCGGCCTTAGTTAAGTGAAATTGCTTCCGGACAGCGCCAAGAGTTTGCACTTGGGTTTCCGGAGCTTCTTGGAGGCACTTAAAACAACATCGATTCCAGGTTAAGAGGGATATAAACCCGGCAAATTCGCCGCAAAAGGTATAAGCTTTGGTACATAGTGCGCAGTAAAAGTCGGTAAGAGAAACAATGATAGCAAATTTCGTTCATAGCAAAGCGCAGAGAAGGTTCAGTCCATAGGAGACCACCATCTGATATTGCCTGAGAGAGTCAACCGCCTGTCTCGATCTGAGATTTATTTGTCGAAAGTTGAATAGAGAACGCATGTCCATGCGTAACAACACGTCATGCAAGAGCTCGAGGGGTAGGCGATCTAGGGGGCCGAGTCCCGTATGAGAATCCCGCTGGAAAGGTGTTGCTATCGATGGATGAATACCAACGTGTTCGCGAGGCGAGAACCATATCACAGAGCGACAGTAATCTTTACGATGGTAGGCTGTGGTTCGAACAATAGCGTCAGCCTGTCCCTCGCGAAAATAGTATTCGGTGGCAGAGTAATATCCGTGAGGAAAACTGGTAGCCATTCTCGACATTTTGTTAATGCGCTTGAACGAAAGACGCGTGGGCCTTATTAGTAGGTAACGATCTGAGGGATGGTCCTCAAGTCACCTCGAGCTCGCCAAGTAATAACAGTGCCACTTTTCTCCGGGCAGCGCTGCATTTAGCTCGTTTCTGCAGTCCGTACGTCCCCAGATTCTAATTCAGAGTAAAATAAAGGTCGAGTTTAGACGCATCGACAACGCGTGGATTTAGCGTCATGACGATACAATGGGGATCATTGGGGACAGCGGTAGCGGCAGTGGAAGTGGTACAAACTTGACGCGCACAGGGGCGAGGAAATGCAAGGGCTTTGTAGATCTTCAGTGATGGCTGATATAGTGTATACAGAACTTGATCCAGACCGAAGGTAAAGATAGGTATATACCAAAACAAGATATATTATTACTACTACCCACGATGCCTCAGATATAAGGTATGTAAATAATACCTGGTATTAATATGGTTCGTGATGTTTTGACAACTCATCTTTGTACTTTTCATCTGCATTAACTAACTAAAGAACTTGAGAACATTATCTTTACAACTGTACCTAAATTACCACGTTGATACAAATGATAGGTAAGCCTATAAGCTTATGGTGGGTTTGACAGGTAACACTCTACCTAATGCAATTCAACGTAGGTACATGATGTCTCGTCAAAACACAGCGTAGGAATTACACATCATCTGGATCCGTCGAAAGTTTTCCACCATAGTGCACCTAGGTAACCGGTTAGGTATGTACATACGGATTATGTAGTCTCAATTCCGAGATTCGTCCTTCGTCACTGGCCAACCCATCGCCCCAATTTTCTTAGTTGGTGAATCGAGTGGAATCGAGCCGCCCCAGTGGAAAAGAAGCCTGAAAGGGCTGTAGAATCGGCTTTCCCCGGAAGCGTATTACTTCAGCCAAAACCCTATTGGTCCGACGGAAGGTGCACGCGCCACATCGTGGCTCAACTTTCCGTACCACCTTGCCGAAAAGCCCATGCCTGCCCATGCCCGCTGAGCTCATCGCTTTAAAAATTCCCAGCATGCGCCGATTTTTTTTCTCCCTTTCCCTTTCTCCCGTCCCATAAACTTCACTATTTAAACGGCCACCCTCCTTTTCTAGAGACGGAATAGTTTGACCTGCGTACTCTCACGCACTAATAAAGTAATAATTATTCCTTCACCTCCCTACTTTCGAACGACAACATGGGTTTCTCTGCCGGTATGTACACACGAGCCTCCCTTGCGTCTTGCTTGATTTTTTCCCGCCGCATGACAGCCCACATGTCATCACCGCCTTTCGAGCCATTGAGCCACCACCAGCGCCAGGACGACTGCGATTAGTGTCTACGGGATACAATATCTCTAGCTCTATCATATCGGCTGTTCGCCTGCGTGCTTACTGTATTTTGGGACTTGGTGCTTGGGATGTCGCAGTTGCGTGCGCTATTTTACCTGGTGGCGTTGAGGGTTGCTATTGTGCAGTCGCACAAGGTCTAGAAGGCGCAGGTAGCCTTTAATTTTGCTATGGAACAGCTTTCTTTGACCGACGGGCTAGTTATTGTGACTAGACACAAGCAGCGTACACATTATGGTCAACACTTTAACTAACGTCACAATTTCCTTAGGTGACTCCAAGAAGGGTGCCAACCTCTTCAAGACCCGATGTGCTCAGTGCCATACCCTGAAGGAGGGCGAGGGCAACAAGGTCGGCCCTGCTCTACACGGTCTCTTCGGCCGAAAGAGTGGTCAGGTTGAGGGCTTCTCCTACACAGACGCCAACAAGCAGAAGGGTGTCACCTGGGACGAGAACACTCTGGTATGTAATATTTAAGCGGTACTAGTTAAAGCGACTCTACTAACGTTTTGCTTAGTTCGACTACCTCGAGAACCCCAAGAAGTACATCCCCGGTACCAAGATGGCGTTCGGTGGTCTAAAGAAGGAGAAGGACCGAAACGACCTTATTACGTGGGTTTTTCTCTGCTTGAAAGAATCTCGAGGCTTCCATACTAACACTGTTTACAGCTTCCTCAAGGAATCTACGGCATAAACGAAGTTACGAGAAAGACGTGTACCAATACCATCATAGCATAGACAGGATCGGCCAGTTGTGTACTTATAGACTACTAGACCGTTGCGTTGCGGCACCCGCGTCGGTGCTAGTTCACATATATCCATCTCCTCTTTTCCAGCATTATACACCCGGTCGGAGTGCTAGGAGTTGAGGCTTCTGCAGGAAGGCTTGGATCGGATAATATAATCTGTCGCCAGTAATTGAGCATAGACGCAAATTTCCCCCTCTTAGACTTATCGCGTTGCCCCTGTTCTCTGTGTGGAATGTTATTCTTGCCATGGTTTTGTGTAGACTCGTGATAATCTTCATGATGTTCATGACGTAGTTGCATGCTGGATTTACAAGAAATTGTGCGTAGCTAGGTGGATACGGGCCATTGACCAATGAGGTTGCGTTGAATTGTTGTCAGCATTTTCGCTGTTTAATAAGGCTAGCAGGGACGCTATTGGATAAGAGTGGATATGGTCAAACTGGGATGAGCGTTTCTCTTCCAATGCTAAGAGTTAGATTGGAAAGCTTTATTGGGTCTTTTGGTTTCTTGCGCGGATATGTATTTACACTCGTTAGGTACATGTATACGATAGTGTACAAGAAGAGGCGATTCTCTGTACTCGGAGCTTTTGATCCAGGAAAGACAGACAATTATATAAACGACGCCATTCGAATATATATAGACTCACATTTCCACTTGAGCCATTGGCAAGAAATGTGTACATAAAATATTAAAAGATAAGTGAAACCGTATTATCTATTTATGCAATTACACAGCTTATACCACTAGCTGTCCGTGTTCGTGATGCTACATGTAGCTCATCTATATCTCCTTCCCTCGCTCTACACTAGGGAAACGCCCACTCACCAACAAGAGGCATTACGATCCCGTGCTGCTTCAAAAAAGAGGACTAGTGTCCTATATGCTATACGCCCTACCCTACCCCACCCTGGATATCCAGATCCAAAACGCTTCTTCTAGTTTCCACCAATAATTCATTATACAATTGTAGATATTGTGTTCATTCGCTCTCTTACTGTATCCACCGCTCGCGCTCGTATTATGCGGCGAGCATAGCTCTCCTCTCCGACTCCGGTTCTTGCTCCGGTTCCTGCTCCTGCGGCATCGCATCTTTGAACTTTAGCGGGAGTATCTTGGTATTCGGCACGTTGGGTAGTTTCGCCGGGCCGTTAACTTCCTGCTCGAGGGCGGCTAGTTCGTCTTCGACCTCGTCCTCGTCCTGGTTTGTAATTCTGCCGCCTAGCATCTCGCTTACTTCCTATTAAGTAGAAAGGCCGTTAGTATACGTAGGGATATATGTAATGTATTATAAAATCAATGATATCTCGGGGTGGATAGGAGGTAGGGAGGTGTATACCCTCTGGTAAGCAATAGCATCCGCCGTGTCGCCCATAAGCTTCTCGACGTGCTCGAGGCCGCCCATCTCGGCGTGGATGTCGCGCAGGACGCGCGTGCCCTGCTGCAGACCGAACACGACGTCCTTCTGGATGAGCGCGAACTCGACGCTGCGGGTCAACTGCTCTAGCTGGGCGAGCTGCGCGTCGGTCTTCTCGAGTAGCGACTCTTGGTACTTCTTCCGGCGCAGGGCTAGCAGGGCGCGCTTCTTGTCGCCGGCCGCTAGCATTTGTCGCGCCACGGCCGTCTCCTTATCGGTTAGGACCGTGATGCGCCGCTGGTATTGGTGCAGCTTGTCGCGCTGTAGTTTGAGGTCGAGGATCGCCCTGCGGAAGTTTGGAGGTTAGTGTTTTTGTCGGCGATGGGATGGAAGATGTTAGTTGATTGGGGAGGGGGTGGAAAGGGGGAAAGCCTTACTTGTCCTGGGCGGTCACTCTGCTCGAATTGTTGCCCATGATCGCCGTGCCCTAGAATCTACTATGGAATCCGAAGCGCGCATTGTCTAGCAATAGCGAGGGTCGGTGGAAGAACGATGGTCAGGCAAATGCCTTTTCAGGGCAGCCTGGTTCGTAGGATAAATGATGATGCGATTTTGTTGAGCATGTGTACGTTGCTGGTATACAATATGGGGAAGGGTGTCGATGTTGTCACGAGCTAAGTTCGGCGGGCGTCCCATGTTCTACTGTAGGGATCAGCTTATCGATTGCAGGGGGCTTGCTGCGCGTCTTTATCTAAAAGTGCCTAATGACGCACATCTAAGCCGTCTCGGCATTCCCAGCTTAAACTTTGATATTGTGGAAGTCTCCAAGACAACATCAATTTTAACTTTGACCCGGAGCTACAATTGGAAGAATCATCTTTGCTTATACTATTTTTAGGACTATATCTCTTAAACCCTTTTTACACAACAGTGTGCTTGACAATACTACACGCTACATACTTTTTAAGTGTAGATCGGATTTAGAACTTTTGATAACTAAGGATTTCTGGTTGCTGGTTCGTGGTTAGGAGCCGCCTTCGCAAGATGAATGAATGGAAGCTCTATTAATCCTAAACATTGTACCTGCATCTGTACCCACGATTATGAAGTCGATTGTAGCCCCCAACTGTACTTCTCGAATGGTTCCTTCCATGTACCCTTATAGGCGATTGCTCTATGAAAAGATTATGTTTAAGTGCATACTCGTCAAGGCAAAAATATGACCCACTTTATTTTCATATGCTGAACTTTTCAGAAATCCAACAACTCAGAAATCTCGAATCTCAAATCTCATACCACAGCGGCGTCCGGCATTAAACTTTTATAATTGGGCTCGGTTAAAGAGCATACTGTTGCACATAGACTAAAACCATTTACAGGATTAAATACTACAATTTTACCATCTTGAGTGCGGCCGATTTGTTATAAAAATATAATGCCCAGGGTCCTTCACGGCTTAGACCGTGATGTCTACCAGATTATCAGAAAACTCGAGGATGATCATGAGCGGAACAGCCCCTCAAAGCCACT